TTCAAAATTGGAAAGAGTTTAAAGTGAAATTTTGAAATATGATGGCTACAAATAACATACTATAAAAATGTTCCAAGAGATTACCATTTGTTGCCAAGTATGCAACAATAGGTACTATACTAGATATAAAAGACCTAAAAGTTGACACGATCCAGCCCTGTCTTCAGGAACTCAGTCTGGTAAGAGAAAAAGACAAAATGCAAAATCATTTAACACAATAGGTAAGAGAAGGAAGATATGTAACAAGGTACATGTGCAAAATTAAAGAGAAACTAATGTATGGGGTACAGAGGGAATGGGTGCGGAGTGTGAGAACTACAGGTAATCAGAGTTTCAGATCATTCTGAGGAAAGCCATGTGAGAGATTGAGAATGGAGTAGAATTTGAATTTGAAGATTTCATTTTTTTAAAAGGTAAAGAAAAAGACTTCATAAAAATAATAACGAGGCCCTCCCTGGTGGCGCAGTGGGTTAAAGCACAGCACTGAGAATCTAAAGCCGCTTCCGCATGAGTTCGATTCCCACCTGCCCCGGAGGAGTCCACATGGCGTGGCAGAACTCTCCTGACCCGCCCGCTGCTCCCCTCAGCAGTGTGCTTCGTCGATCTGCCTGTTCTGCTCCCCACTCTGTCTCTGGTGAAGCCTCTCACCGCCCCTGATCCTCTGGCCTGTACCCCAGTTCTGTATGCATAAATAAATAAATCTTAAAAAATAAAATAAAAAATAATAACGAAATGCTTATAATCATACATGCAAATGAAAGAAGGTGGTAATGACAACCTCACTTATATCAATTAGGATAATAGACTTATCTTCCTAAGTAAAATCTTTTAGAAAATTTTAATTTAAATCCCAATTTCTTTTATATTTGAAGTCTACAGAAAACAAAGTACAAAGTAAAACATGAGTAATAAAGTAGCTACACGCATTAAATTATAGCTGTTACATTTCACAACTTCAATATATTTCATTCATTCAGTAATTACTACTAATATACTATGATAAAAATAATTAAGACTAGTTATTATTGATAAGGACCTCAGGTTAACAGTAGTGGGGTAAAGCATACAACAAATCAGTGAGAAACATTACTGGTGATGAGTACTTTATTTTAAGAGTACTATTTTATTTTATATTAAGATACTCAGAGCAGGCAGTTATGAAGAGCTTCACAGAAGAGTCAGTCAACTAACAAATTTTGGCTGAGGGTGAGGGTGTAAAGGGAATAAAGGTGTCAAATCAAGATGACTCCACCTGCATCCCAGGTTTAAGTAGAGGAGTGTCAAATGTTTGCTTAATTAATCCTTATAACAACTCCTGGACCCCAGGTATGCAGGGTCCAAAGACTGCTCTAAACTACCTCTCTGCAATAAAATCTAGGTTAGCACTAAAAAAACACTGAGATCATGTGAAGGGCCTGGTTCAGTTTTGTTCATATGCTGTAAAAAGTTACTTTTAATCCTAAACCAAGACTGAAAAATATAATCAATGGCAGCAGAATATTGTAACTAATTAAGAAGTGACATCATGAGACTGGAAGAAAAAGGAGACCAATGTCTCAATGTTGATAAAGAGTAGACAAGGAAAGCAGTAACATCAGGCTGTGGTTTCAGAAAAAGATGGTAGAATTTAAAACTCTAGTGGTAGATTTGTTAAGGAGGTAGCCAGTTTAGAATTTATCAAGTTGTCCTACAAAGATATAAATGGAAAATTTTCTATTTGTAGAGAGCAGAGCTGTGTATCACAGACTATATGAATGTTTTAAAAGAAAAGGGAAATTTCCTATTAAAAAAAAAACAACTCATGACCCATTTTAAGTGTTAATGACAACCTGAGATGACAGGAAATACATAATGGGCTAATTTACGTCACAGCATGTGTAGAAATCCCAGGAGTTAATAATAAAACAATAAATTTGAAATATTTAGCAGATGAAGAATGAACTTATAACCTTTTCTGCATTAACACTCACTATGGCATTTCCTGTAGATATAACTTATTAAAAAACTAAGCCAGATAGGTATGACTATATTTATTAATATATAGCATATATTCTTTATCTCACTATAAATAAAACACTATCATGTGTTTTATACTATATATAAAACACATACACTGTACTTAACACACTATACCTACCAAAACACACATATACACACCCTTCTCTGACTTTCTCACAAGCTCTTTTCCCCATACAAAACAAAAAAAAAAAAAAAACACTTTCAGTTATGGGACAAGGTTCAAAACAAAATTTTCCAAATGTCTCTGTATATAATGGCTTCTTATCAGTAAACAATAAAAAAAGAGAAGGAACTCACATGACACACATAAAAATTTCAGAGTGAATTATTGTAACTACACCCAGGTTAAGAAATGAACATAGCAGAAGTTCTGTGAAACATCAGTCACTGCTCTGCCCGGATGTAAGTTATCCTGATTTCTACCAATAAAACCACTGAACAATTTTGTCTGACTTTTATCTTTATAAAACTAGAGTCAAACAGCACATCTTCTTTTGTGCCTGATCTCTGTTTCAATTGTACTTAAGAGATTTATTCACTTAGTTGGATGCAACAGTAGCCTATTAATTTTCAAGCTGAAAATAATGCCATCACATGATTATGTGTCTATTCTACTGCTGATGGATGCTTGAATTATTGCCAGTTTTGATTTTCTGTAAATAAATCTAGTGAAAACATTATTACTGTACCTTGTGGGGTTTTTTGTTTGTTTGTTTGTTTGTTTGTTTGTTTGTTTGTTTTTGGCATAGAAGAACTGGAGTGTAAACCAGAGGTGGGGGGGTGGGCAGCGAGAGGGTTTACCACAGACAAAGTGGGGAAGAAAACACACAAATTTACTGAAATACACTGCTTAGGGGAGCAGTGGGCAAAAGAGACATGCTGCGCCATATGGGTCAGCTCCCTGGCCAGGGATGGAACTCAGGCTTTGTCTCTTCTTAAGTATTCCCTATGTGTTTTCAGCATGTATCTTGTGCAGCATAACTTCTAAGATCTTAAGAGATGAGAATATGGATTATGCCTCACAAATGGATACGTATAAATTCTATTGGATTCAATGGTGTATTCCTTTAACATTTTAAAAACATTACTCCGTTGTCCTCTTGACATCAGCTTTCTCAAAATCAACAAGAATTAGGTGCGATCAAATTCTTGTTCATTTATTTGTAGGTGATAGGTTATGTCACTGAAAATCTTTCAGAAATATTTTGTCTTTGCTATTAAATCATTGCAAATGGGTTTACTGGAAAACTGTCCCTTCTCTCCCACATTTAGCAATCTTAATACCTTTCAGTCTAAAGTTTTCCATGAGTCCTTCATCGGGAAAATTATCTTAATTATTTCTACAAATACTACTTCTTCCCTTTTTATTCCCTCCCCTACCTTTCTAAGATACTATGCAGCTAATAGCATGGTACTCTACAGTGGAAGAAACTGAGTCACAAGGAGGAAAAAGAACACTAGGCCAAGAATCTGATAAATGTAAAAAAAAAAATGTGAAAGCATCCATGAAGGGAAGCATACATAGACCAAATAATATAGAAATTATTAACATTTTATTTGTCTAATCCCATCTACAAAGAGGTAAAGAAATACATTAATTTACAATGCTGTATCTCAAAGCCAGCCTTGTATCTATCAAGCCAAGAACTCTGGTTGAACTCAACTGAAATAATAGCTATAAAATCCAGACTGATGTTTTGATTTTCAGAGATTATGACTCTGTCTAGATAGTGAATACAATTATTCTCAGCTTTTAGCAGTACGTAACCCAAGCAGCCTGCTCCCCAATTCCCATCAAGAACACATCTGAGTCCTTTGGTGGACGCAGTAGAATTGTGGCTACTCTCCTATTTTGAAACTAAAACAAAATATACTAAAACAACAAACCTTCATAAAAGATAGGAAACAACCCAAACCACAGATCATGAGCATTTTTTCAAATACAATTTGGGACAAGATGATAGTATCACAAGCCAATATAGTTTTTGTATATTCAGCCAGCATTGAGTTCCTCTGAAAGTAATAGAGAAGTTCCTAAAGGGTTTTATTTAAAACAAAGGTAGGTGAGAGTTCAGACAAATCACAGGAATAGCAAGGGAGATGGGGCTGAAGAAGAGACAATGTATACATGCCATGTTTAATTTCCCTGACTGCTAAATAAGATAACCCAGCCCTCACTGGTGGCACAGTGGGTTAAAGCACAGCACTGCAGTTAGTGGCAGCAGCTTCAGTGCTGGTTCCATTCCCTGGCCCTGGAAGTGATTCACATAGTGATGCAGACCTCTCCTGTCTCACCTGCTGCTCCCCTCTCTTTCTCTGGTGAATCCTCTCACCGCCCCTGCACCTCTGGCCTATACCCCAGTTTTGTATGCATAAATAAATCTTAAAAATAAATATGAGAACTTATAAGGGGAGAAGGTAAAACAAAGAAAAGGGAAGAAGCAAGATTCTTGTTGTAATCAGCATTAGTTGAACAGAAAGAAACGAGCACCCAATAATCAAACAGATGACCAGATTCCATGAAGAGCCATAGCACACTTCTTACTAGGTTATCTCACCTGAGTGAGAATACCAGAGCTTGTCCAGGTACATGATTTGGGGTCAAAGAACAGAGAAGTTTGTGAGAATGCATTCTGAAACAAGAATAGAAAACTGAACCTTCCAAATGCCATTCCCCACATACTACTACAGATAATAATGAACTTTGAGTTCTTGCCATATTCTAGTCACTAATCTGGAAGTTTTACTCTTTTAATCCTCAAAACAGTACCAGTGAGCTAAGTACTCTTATTATAAACATATGCAGAAAAAGAAAATGAGGATCCGAGAAGTAAATTTCCTATAGTTCCATTAATTTGAACCCTGTCTTGTTTAAATCTTAGGCTTTTAACTATTATTCTGTATTGTCTCTCCCACAGTAATGTTAAACATTTAAATGCAGAAAGCTCATGTAACTTTTAATTTACACAGAAAATATTTACCTTGCACTGTAAGCTCTGCCTGAGCTTCAATTGTTTCATTTCCATTATCAGCAACACAAAAATAAGTCCCAGCATCATCCTCAGTGACATCACTGATCTCTAGATTACCACCTGCCAGCAATACCAATCGTGCAGAGCTGCAGTTAAAAAAAAAAAAAATTGATATGTATCAAAACTAGGAAAATAACAGCTGAGCATGCATCAGATAAAACAGAGAAAATATTTAAGAGTACTATGATTTATATGGCTATTTATTGAGATTAACATATTTAAACTTATTCCCATTTATTCTGCTTACAATTTACATGCAAAAATACAACTCAAAATGTTACAATGAAATCTGACACTTCTATATTCCAAATGGGGTATGCAAAACTGTAGCCAATTCCATTCCCCAGTCCACCCCTCCTTTCCTACTATATCTAGTTTTTTTGTAAGTTATATAATTTTGAAGTCCAAAATCAAAGAGAGTTTCCACTAAAGCTATGCCACACTGAGATAACTAGTAGAGGTCAAGATGTCAGTTCAGAAACAGTGAGTCAAGGGGTCACAATGCCTACTGAACATTTCCTGTGGTAGTTTGACTAGCAAAAGGAAGAAACGAAGAAGAGAAGGGAGATAAGACAGCTGCCAGAGAGCAGCTGCCTGGGTGTGGTAGCTGGGCATGAATAGTCACCATCATACCACTATTAATAAGGTCCAGCTCTAAAGAGTAGGTTAAGTCTATATAAATAAAATACTTGAAAAGAAAATGATCCTATAGTGCTAATGAAGTAATCACAAATGAATATTCTGAACAAATTTTTAAGTAAGTAAACAAGTTAAGTTTTGGAGTTATAAGCTAAATCAAACATACAAAGGTAGCAGACACAAAATAAGGAATACAATTAATTATAGGGACAAGACTTAAAGCTACCACTCTAAAAGTCATATCCATACAAACTTAAAATACAATACCAAACACAATGGCAAAATATACTTATTTTTGAGATTCTAAATTAATTTTCATAGGCCATATTTTCTCTCAAATTTTAACATTTTATATTTCCTGTGTATGTTTAACAAAAAAAGTTTTGTTTTATAATTTAGCCTTTTCATACATTATTCCTGGTGCAGAAAAAAAAACAAGAAATGACTCCTCAGTTTGTGCCACTTTTAGTTCTCATCCCTTACATATGTTTCAGTATTTTACATTATAAACTTGGGCTATTAGTCTTCCTGATAAACAAGATGAAGTTTCTGGAAAAAGACAGAGGAAAACCAGAATCGGGCTTGGTGAGTTCTCTAAGAAATACCCTGCAAAAATCTGAATAAAATTTATCAAGTAGGTTTCCTATTTGGAACATCTTTATAATGACCTCAAACCCCAAATTTATGCGATGAATAGAAAAACAAGAGAACATACGACACAGAGCAAGAAAAACCTGAATGAAACAGGGAGGGCTTTGGAGGCCTCACAAAGAAAGCAAAAATTTTAAATTTAAAATACTTTATTTTACACATCAGCAAAGTCACTACTAAACTTCAGAAATGGAAAACAATGCTTACAAGTGGCACATCAGATATTATATATGTATATATACATATATATACATATACATTATATATGTGTGTGTATATATAAAAATATTAAACTTGCTGAGAAGAATATAGTTTATAATTTGCCATAACTGCCTGCCAGTACAGAAAGTAATCTTTCTTACTGGAGATGGCTTTACTCTCCTTAAGAAACCTTGAAAGACTGTTCATCCACTTGTCCACTTGGCAGAATTCCTGGTAGCTTTTTCACATAACTATACAATGGCTTATACTGAAATGACAATCAAGCCTTTAAAACTCCAAAAATCAAAGATGGAGGCCAAAGGAACAACATGTAAAAAATATGCCTGGTCAGTAGACCCAAATTGAATGTTGGTAGACATAGGGGAGGTGGTTGGAGGAGAGAGAGAGAGAATGTGTGTGCATGTGTATGTGAGTGTGTGTGTGTGTTTGTAACAGAGAGGGAATGTGTGTGGGTCCCTAAGTAGCCAGTGGTCAGTCTAGGAGAGTTTGATATATTAAGAAAACCCATATTTTTGGCAAAGGGAAAGGTATCTGAGCAAATAATATGATCAGATTTACAAGTAACAAGTGTGAAAAGACTAGAAGCATGAAGTTTATTTACTATAGTAGTATGGAGTTAAAGAGAAAAATTAACTATAGCATTAACAACATGAGTAAAGAAATGGCAAAAAGTACTGAGCACTCTTCAAAAACACTGGACAATGAAGATATGGAGAGTAATTTCTTCATTTGTTTTACAAATACTTATTGGCATGCCTCTATGTGTGACATAGCATTTAAGAATGTAGCAGTAAGCAAAAAAAAAAAAAAAAACTGTTGTCATACATCCCACGTTTTATATATACATATATGTGTGTGTGTGTATACACACACATACATACTCAAATTCTTTTCTTTTTTATTATGCATGTATTTTTTCTTTTTATTATATATATTTCATTAAATATATTATATAATATATATTATATAATATATATTATATAATATATATTATATAATATATATTATATAATATATATTATATAATATATATTATATAATATATATTATACTATATTACATTATATATATATAATTAAAAAAGAAAAGAATTTGAGTTATTGATCTAATAAATGGAAATCCTTAAACATTTTTAAAAGGGAGTAGGGGACCCTTCTTGGTGGCACAATGGGTTAAAGCTCAGCACTATGAAGCTGGCCAAAGCCGCTTCAACACAAGTTTGATTCCCCTGCCAGAAGGTGACCCACATGACACAGCAGACCTCTCCTGCCTTGCCTGCTGCTCCCCTCAGCTGTGTACTTCATAGATCTGCCTGTTCTGCTCCCTGCTCTGTCTCTGGTGAATCCTCTCACAGCCCCTGCTCCTCTGGCCTGTACCCTAGTGCTGTATGCAAAAATAAATCTTTTAAAATAAATAAATAAAAGGGAGTAAGAGCTGGCGATGTGACGAGATGTGAGCTTTGGAAAGACTTCTCTGGCAGTTTTATGAAGATGTACTTGGAATGAAGCCAGAGTACAAGTCGGAAGAATAGGTAGGAGGTTATTGTAGTAATTGAGGTGACAGTTGACAGCAGCTTGGAATAAAGTCATAGCAACACAGATGGATTTCAAGCTACTTAGGAGGTAAATGACACATATTGTGGATGGGTTAGGTAGACAAGTTGAGGAAAAAAGAATCAAGAAGACTCATGTTAAGGCAGTAAGTATAACAGAGAAAACAAAAGGAAAATTCAAGTTTTGGTTTGTTATTTGAATGAGAAAAAAAGGGAAGCTTTTTTATAGGAAACTGAGAAGAAGCCAAATGGGAGGGATACACTTGAAAAGAAGATTCATAAAAAGTCCTAAAAAAAATGGAAAGTGATAAGATCTAGAGCAGAACGGGACTTCCAAACTTCCTCTAAAACAGCAGGAATGGAAGGATGGGTGGAAAGTCAGTCTTAACACATAACCTGGCACAAAAGTCATTCTCTCATATTTTCTTTTATTTTGAGGCAGTTGTAAGATGTATACACAATGGAATACTATTCGGCAATCAAAAAGATAAACTCAAGCCATTTGCAGCAACCTGGATGAACTAGAAGGGATTATACTATACAAAATAAATCAGAAGAAAAAGGAAAACATCAGATGGTCTCACTTATAGGTGAAATATAGAGAAACCAAACAAAGGATCAGAAAAAAGACAAAACTTGCAGGCAAACTACTGATCTGAGGCATCCAGCAGGGGCTAACACTGGGGACAGAAGGGCACAAGTAGTATGCTTGGTGATGGTCAAGGGTGTTGTGGTGGTGGGAGAATTACATATGAAGAGAGAAATCAAACATTGTACAAAAATGAACAATGATGTAAGAAGAGTAAAAAATAAATTCAAAAAATAATCTTTGAAGAGACTAATCCTTTGTTGAGATATTCTATCTTATCATGTTTCAAGTATGTTTGTAATTGCTTACTGAAGCATTCTCATGATGGCTTCTTTATTTTAGATTCCTCTAAAACCTGCCAGTTTAGCATTGACATTGATAAGTCTTTTCTTATTTGAAATTTTCCTAGTTACCGGTATGATGACTGACTTGCAATTGAAAAATGGGTATCTGTGGTATTATAAGATTGTGGATCTCACTAAATCTTTCACTTCACCTGGCTTCTTCTGGCATCCCTCTCTACCAGAGGAAGGGGTGAAGAGTCCTACCACACTACTGTTGGATACAGGGAGAATTCCATCAGTCTCTGCTATTCCCTTTATGGGAGGAGAGGATACCTCATTACTCCTGAGCAGGGTTGGGAATTCTTGTTTTCCACTCAGACTACACTGACACTGAACCCAGTAGCCTAGAGAATTCTAGGTATAGAAAGCCTACTTACCCTTAAGTATCATTTTGCTAACCATGACATATCCACAAATGGATTAATAAATATTTGCCTCACAGATACAATTTTAAGTGAAATACAATGTAACAATTTTATGTAACATGAAAGGAAAACACATAACATCACTACCATGGTTTATACACCCCTGACCCACGTAGATCTTACACTCAATCTATGTTGAGAATAATTCTTTAATATCCAAAAAAAAACCACCCAGCAATTCTACTTCTACTTTTCTTAGTATTCATGACATACTTTGTCTTAATTTTCTTCACAGTAGCTATCAAACTAAAATTTTGTTTTTACATAATTATTACCTGATTTTTCCCTCACTAAAATATAGACTGCCTACGAATAAGAATTCTGTTTGGTTGATTACTCTATTCCCAGTACCTGGAACAGTGCCTAACATAATCAGCAATCAATAAATATTTGCTGAATACTTATAAACAAATAAGAGCCACAGAAATCCTCACTTTCTTATATAAGAAATCAAAATTCTATATCATCATATACTTTCATAATATCCTATAATTATAAGATAAAGTTTTAGAAATAATCTATTTCAGGTTTTCTACTTCTGGTAAAGATTTTACTTTAAAATGTAGTTAAACATAGTTTCTACTAAAAGAACTTGAAATTTTGATATCCTATTTCAAGTACCATCTGGTACTATCGAGAGACACTTTTGGTTTTCAGAACTTGGGAGTGCTATTGGCAACTAAAAGGTAGCGGTCAGGGATGTTAGTAAATATCCTATCATGCATAAAATAGCTTTGTTTGGAAACAAAACATACCTAGCCACCTTCGTCATCTCAGATCTCTTAATACAAGAGAATAGAGAAGGTAGAGAAGGTAACTTTGCATAGGAAGTGATGAGGGAAATGGAAGGGCTAAGAGAATGGTATTGTGTTAACAGAAAAGTGTTGTGGAAAATGAAGAATCTGTGATCATAGAAGGTAAGGTTAGGTTTTCAAAGGGAAAGCCAAAAGGATGAAGAATATATTTTCTTTCATTGTTTGAGTGAAGTAGAAAACCTACTACCAACAAAATGCAGGTGAGAGTGAGACAACTCAGGCTAGTCAGGACCAGAGGTACTCAGAACAACAAACAGAATAATTATCTCTTAATATTTTGAAAGCATAATTTTCTTTAAACAACCTAATCATGTATAGCATATAAACATATTTCAAGAATGATAAATGACCATTTTTATATGCTTAAATAAAAGTAATCATTCATTAAAATTAATCAATAGTCCCAAATATGATTAGAACAAGTCTCCAGCCAAGGATGAGTAAAGCTTTTATGTGGACATTACCTTTGTGTGTCAAGTGCCTCCTCATTTTTCATCCACCTAATGGCTGGAACAGGAAATCCTGAAGCAACACAAGGCAAAACTGCACTTTGACCAATAGCTCTGACTAAGGAAGAAGGCTGTTTCACAAATACCAAATTTGATGTAACTTCAGGATCTAAAAAGAAAAAAAATAAAGGTAATAAAGAAAGCATTTTGTTACTTTAATGATAAGGCAGAACAATTAGGATTCCATCTCTATAGCTTCATGTAACAAATTTCAAGTAAACGTGGCCAAGAAAAATCCACTTAAGTTAGCAAACATTTCTTAAATAACGTGAATGTACAAAACAGTATGCAAGGCACTCTCAGGGCCTTATAGATATATAAATATATATAATTTACTTTGACTTCAAGGTGCTGATTTGACAAAGTCCCTTCACCTTAACAAAACAAGTTACAATAAATGACATATTAGTACAAATAGAGAAAAGATTGAGAAGGTTCAGCACCCTTAGTAGCATCTTCTCCACTCAGAAGGATATAAGACGTTTCATTTCATTTCCTACATGGATGTTACTTCTCAAAAACATGAGTAACATCTCTGTATCCTGCTCACTTAATCTGTCAATCCTTTGAATTGAAAGTGCTGCAGCTAGCTATGAGTGTGCCATAATGTGTGCTTGCTTACACACATTAACATACTCATTAACAGTTGCCCAGTTGTGGACATATTAGAAGACCATACTCATATGGGTAGAAGACAGGGTTCTCTACACCATGGGGTGATATTGGTAGTGCTGACTTTGGAGAAAAAAATACATCTCTCAGGCAAAATATGTGATTCCTGTCTCATTTTCTTAGGAAAAGATGTTCTATCACATTGCAATAACCACCAGAACTAGCTTTAACCAATCAATTAGTTTTACAGAGTTTGAGGTAAGTAAACACTGTCTAATAAATCAGTGAAAAATCACTTCACTGAATTTGCCTCTAAAAGTCAACCACTGAAACTGTCAGATTTTAAGCACCAGCCATCCAGTGGCAGAATCACTTGCTTCCAAGGCTTTTACTAACTGCTCTCATCTCTGCAACCAGCCATAAAACACTTCTATGACTAACATCAACCCACCCAGAATATAGGTCTTCTTTACTTAAGTAAACAAAACATCTAGTACTTTGGTTTCACCTATTAAGTAGTGGATCATTTTTTGACACTATGAATCTTGTTTCCCTGGATTCAGTTCTAAAAATCCGGTGGAATGTTACTTTAGGTAGAAGAGAAATATGACTGTTATCATGTAAAAGCAAGTCAGAAAGTAGACCAGAACATACCATTATATGACAATGGTTCTCACATTCAGCTGGAATTACTTGGTAGATGTAGTAATTTTGATAAACTCAATTAAACAAATTTGAACAAATATTTAATGGCTTTCATGTGCCCATATCCTATTTTAGCAGCACACAAAACTCCCTGCCTTCACTAAGCTTACATATTAATAGAGGGAGAGTGTCAATACCAAAAGACACAGTAGGTCAGATGATGGTATGTTCTAAAGTAAAATAAAGGGGAAGAACAGAGCAACAGTTGGAAAAAATATGGTTTTAAACAGTGATCAAAGATGGTTTCATCAACAAAGTGATATCTGAACAGAAAGTTAAGCAATTATCTGAGAGAAGATAAATACAGGCAGAGAATACAGCGATTAGAATGGTCCTAAAGTATGTTGTGTTCTAGAAACACAGGTGGCCACTATCACTGAATGAGGATGAGTGTGAAATGGAAGAAGTGTGATGGATGGAGGAGGAAAGTGACATTAAGATATAAAATCTGACAGGTCAATAACTATAACATTTACTCAGAATGGGAGGTTCTGAGCGAGCACAAGGCATGATTTAATACACATTTTAAGAGACTGTGGCTACTAAACTAAGAATAGATTGGCATAGAGCTAACAAGGTTAAGGATGATGATAACTGAGAAAAGTGCCTTTTAAAAGGCCACCAGGAATCTCTCAAGAACTGTGTCTCACAACACTGATCTCACTTCGCAATCTAACCCATAGTCTAAAAAAAGAGAACATGAAAAATAAGGACTCCACTCAAACAGCATAATGATGGTCCAATTATATCCACAAACACAGATCTGAACTAAGAAATATGGTGAGAATCAGGCACCTCGTAATGGAAATAAAAGTTGAAAGGTTAAGGGAGAATAAGAGCTATTAAGTGAGAGGAAGTTATGAGAGAACAAAAGTTAAACAGTGAGGGGCCTTCCCTAGTGGCACAATAGGTTAAAGTACCGCAATATGAAGCTGTCCAAAGCCACTGTGGCACAAGTTCAATCCCCAGCCGAGGAGCTGACCCACATGGTGAGGCAGACCCGCCCACTGCTACGCTCAGCAGTGTATTTTGTCAATCTGCCTGTTCTGCTGCCCTCTCTCTCTCAGATGAATCCTCTCACCCACCACACCTCTGGCCTGTACCCCAGTTCTTCAAGTATAAATAAATCTTTGGGAAAAGAAAAAGTTAAACAGTGGGAAAAGATACATGAAATAGATTATGAAGAAAATAGGCAGTAGCCAAGATAGTATGAACCTATGGAAAGAAGTTGAATTTATATTAAAATAGGGAGCATTATAAAGATCTCACAATTCCAACTTAACCAGAGCTGCTATATTCACAGTTACCACTCTGCCTATCCTTTAAATAAACTAGCCTGTGTGCAATCATACAAGTTTTAAAAAAAAAAAAACTATAATAAGGATCCTACTATAAGGAGTTAGTAGCATCAACAAGTAGTATCCTTATGGGACAGCAGCAGAAGAGAGGCTTGACAAAGGACAGAGTTATTGTTTCTAGCTATCAAAATACTGTGTTGCTATATAATTTTTTTTAAAGATTTATTTATTTATTCATATAGAACTGGGGTACAAGCTAGAGATGCGGAGGGTGAGGGGATTCACCAGAGACAGAGCGGGGAGCAGAACAGGCATATCGACAAAGTACACTGCTGAGGGGAGCAGTGGGTGGGTCAGGAGAGGTCTGCCGCACCATGTGGTCACCTCCGGGGCAGGCGGGGATCGAACTCATGTGGAAGTGGCTTTAACTTCTTTGTGCTGTGCTTTAACCCGCTGCGCCACCAGGGAGGGCCGCTATATAATTTTTACTGACTAAAGCATTCACTAACTTACTGATACATTTCCTTCTTTTCCCCATATGTCATACCACATATTTAAAAGTGCTTATAAGAAAATTCTAAAAGAACAATTTTTACCAATTAATAACCATAATACCATTAGCCCTGAAAATTAATTAATACCTGGAAGAACTTTTAATTCAGCCTCATCACTATACTTTGGTGGGCCACCACTTTCAACCATGCAGCGATAAAGTCCCTCATCTCCTTCAGTAACATTGCTGATAACCAGTGATCCACTTGGAAGTTTGATGACTCTGTCATCCAGAAGAAGAGGTTGTCTATTCTGTTCCCACCTCATAAAAGGGACCAAGTCTGTATTAACTTCACAATTTAGAACTGCACTGCTCCCAGCATAAACTGAAGAAGGTTCTGGTTGGCTGGCAAATCTTGGCAGACCTGGACAATAAAGAAAAAGATTAAATAAAATGTAGTTAGTGATTACTTTAAAATGTCACTCTGGGGAACAAGGGCAAGTCAGCCTATGTGGTCACATGTACAATGGGATCAGGGTAAAGAAACTGGTTATATTTAAGGTTAGAGATCAAATTAGTAAATGTGCTAGATAGGGTAAATGGAGTCATTCTTCACCAACTGAAGAACAATAGAATAGAGGGACCAACAGAAATTTAAGATTTTATATACTATAGATATGCAAATAAAGATACAGTTGTAAATATCTATGTGAAATATACAGTAATTACATAACCATTTACCTGTGTGTGTGTGTGTGTGTGTGTGCATGTATGTATCTCCAACCTAGTTTTGTCCAGAGAGATTTCAGAATCCATGTCACTCTAGTAGCAATCAGAACATATGGGTGACTTGATTTTGATTTCTCAATACCACTCTTCACTATAAGGAATCAGTGTTCATTGCAGGAAATCGTTCTAGGGTGTGGGGAGAAAGTTATGAGGCCTCAACACCTTGTGACAGAAAGTAAGTATCCAAAAAACAATGTGGATATATCAAAAGGACAGATCAGAGTGAAGGGAGTTTCCTCTGGCCAAATCTGGGACAACAATTAAATCAGGAAAAAATGCTCTATCTGGTAGGTGGAAGTTACATGAGGAAAGGGCTCTTTATTAATTTTCTGTCCCCAAATCACTGATTATTACTAGCTAAGAGAAGTATAAAATACTTATTAACTTCAGTAGAGTAACACAGCATAAACTATATTAACCAAGTTATAAAAGTTCCTATCACCAGTAATGGAACAAAGCATCACATCCTTCCTGATAAGACACACTAAGAACACAACATCACATCTGTGATTATTTCTCTCCAAACGCAAAACCTGAATATGTTTATAGGGGAAAATGGGACAAGGACAATATAAAGAATGATCTGAGGTGAAAAAAGTCTTAAGACATACAATAAGTAAGTGAAACATGTAATCCAGCACCAAGAAAAGAAGGGTTTAGGGACAACAAAGTTTCTACTTTTGTGTTTTTTTTGCTTTAAAGGATATTAATTAAGAGAACACTTATACTAAGTTCGTGACAAGGCAGAACAAATTCTGAGTCAATGACTTCATGTAACAAAATATTTCAAGCAAAAGTGACATAAGAAAATTCCACTTAAGTTAGCAAACTTTTTTTTATAATTAAAGTATTTTCTTACATCACTGTTCATTTTTATACTCTATTGAATTCTCCCTAAGGATGAAGTCCCTGTAACTGTTCTACCATCATATCATCCATGATCCATCACCACGGTCCCTCGTGCTCTTCCCACCTCTGTATTGACCCCGCACTATCCCCTTCCCGGATACATGCCTCAGATATATAGTCAGCTTGTAAGTTTTGTCTTTTTCCTGATCATTGTTTGGTGTCCCTATATTCTACAAGTAAGTGGAACCATCCAATATTTATCTTCCTGCTTCTGTCTTATTTTACTGAGCATAATGTCTTATGAGCCCCACCCATGTTGCAGCAAATGGCATGAGTTTATCTTTTCTGATTACTGAGCAAAATTTCTTGATTCATTCACGTATTTCCATATCTTAGATACTGTAAATAGTGCTGCAATAAAAATAAGAGCGCAGGTCTCCTTTTGAATTAGTGTTCTTATGTCCTTTAGGTGGATTCCAAGTAATGGAATTGCCAGATCATAAGGCAGATCCACATTTACCATTTTGAGACTCTGCCACACAGCTTTCCAGAGTGGCTAGCCCAGTTTGCATTCCCATCAGCAGTGTAAGAGGGTTCCTTTTTCTCTATAACCTCCACCAGCATTTGTTGTTCCAGTTTGTTTGTGTTTTAATATTTCTCACCAGTGTGAGGTATCTCATTATGGTTTTGTTTTCCCTGACAATAAGTGATGCTGAACTTTTTTTTTGTATACCTGTTGGCCATTTGCATTTCTTTGAAGAAGTGTCTTTTAGCTCTGCTGCCCAGTTTTGACTAGCTTGTTTGTTTTATTTTTGCTGAGTTGTGTAAGCTCTTTGTACATCTTTACTATCAGTCCTTTATCAGCTGTATGGTATGCAAGTATTTTTCCCACTAAGTAGGGTATCTCTTCATTTTGGTTACTGTCTCTTTTACTGTAAAGAAGCTTTTTAGTTTGATGTAGTCCCAGCTGTTCATCTTCTGCTTTGTTTTCCTTAGCAAAAATTTCTTAAATAACTTCTATGTGTAAAAAAAAAAAAAAAAAGCATCATGTTATGCTCTCTCTTGAGGCTCTAAAGATATATAAATTATAATTTGCCTTCACAGTGCAGATCTGGCATAAATTCCCTTCACTTGAAAAAACAGGCTAAAGTAAATGACACGAGTGTACAGACAACCAGTGACACCCCGTGAAATGCCAACGCTATCTAAGGATTAAGTGGCAATGTGTATTAAGGTTAGTTTCCTGAAGTTGATGGATGGTTATCTAGGAGGCTGTCTTGTTTTTAGGAAATAAACTATAGCACATTTAAGTAGAGGTAATGAGGCAACATGCTTACAACTTGCTCTAATGATTCTGAAAAAAATGTGTATGTTGGGCCCTCCCTGGTGTTGCAGTGGGTTAAAGCACAGCACTAAGAAGATAAACCCACTTCAGCATAAGTTCGATCCCCGCCCTGGAGGTGAGCCACACGGCACAGCAGACCTCTCCTAACCTACCCACTGCTCCCCTCAGCAGTGTACTTTGTCAATCTGTCTGTTCTGTTCCCCACTCTGTCTCTGTTGAATCCTCTCACTGCCCCTGTACCTCTAGCCTGTACCCTAGTTCTGAATGCATAAATAAGTCTTTAAAAAAAATGTGTATATTTACACAGTGCAGGGTACCTACATATATGGAGGATCATAAGACAGATGTGGCAAAATGCTAGTTAGTAGCTTAAGTGAAGAGTGCACAGGATTTCTTGTTTCCATTCTTACCATAATTCCACAACTTTGAAATTAATAAAAAATTAATTTAAAATAATTCTACATATTGAAATTAATTAAAAATGAAATATTAACAAAAAATATGTAGAAACCAATGTGTTATAATAACTCAGTACTGCTAACAGCATGAGTCTCAGGTTGCGTAAACTTAATCAATTCTCCCACTTTACAGTTATTTGATATTGGCAAGTTACTATACTGCTAATTCTCAGTTTCTCCACCAGTAAAATGAGATCAGTAACAATCCTCAGAGAGTTCTAAAAATATTAAGTAATTAGCATAAATATGTAGCATACTGCTTAGTATATAAACATACAACAGGTATTAACTACTATTATTATTAGCACTCATATTTAAAAAATACCCTGATAAGCTCAGAATGTTTCTTTGAAGGCAACAAACACACTCAATTATGAGAAACAATTACTGGTTCTCTAGTTTTATGGTGGGGAATGGTCCAAATGTAAATGACACATTTACAAGTTAGCTAGATATGCTTTTTTTTAAAAATTTTTTTATTACAAGGGAAGTTTTGAAAAGATAAAATTAACCAAATACCTACTTTTAAGAAACCAGAAACTTAATAGATTCTAACAAAAACATGGAAACTAATGAAGTAGGAAAAGGGGGATCTAAATAAAGCCAAGAGCTATTTTTTTATAATTATTAAAAAATAAAAAATATATATTTTAAGTTGAAACACTGTCTCTAAAGTTTCATGAAAATAATTTTCAAAAATATAAACCCCTAATAACATATGAGGAGTCTGCAGAGAAAAATTTTCCAAAAATTCCCAAAAATTCTGAATTGGGAGAGCAAATGGACCTAGCAATCAACATACGATGGTAGAAAACTGACCACAAAGGAGCCAAGAATATACGCAATTATTATTAGCAATGATATTTAATAAGTACTCGAATATACTTTTGTCTTCAACAAACAAAGTTGGGAAAACAACAGTCATATGTAAAAGAATAAAACCAGTTCATTACCTCACATCAAACATAAAATTTAAATCAAATGAATTGACGACTTAGATGTGAGTTCTGAAACATTAAAATATGTAGAAGGAAACATGGTCAAAGCATTCTGCAATGCTGTCTACAACAAAGTGTCTTTGGAGATTCACTGGAATGGCAAGAAAAGTAAAAGCAAAAATAAGCAAATGGAGCTGCACCAAACAAAAAAGCCTCTGCAGAGCAAAATGAGTATCACTGAAACAAGAAGACACTCTCTGAATGAGGGTAAATATTTGTATATCATACCTCCAATAAGGGGCTAACATACAAGATCTACAACAAACTCAACTCAACTAGAGAAACAATGCAAAGAAAAATGGGCAGAAGAGCTAGAGATACTTCTTCAATGACATACAGACAGCCAATGCACACGTACAAATGCTAATCTTCACTTACCATCAGGGAAATGCAAACAAAACCACAATGAGCTACCACCTCACACCATGGGAATGGCCCACATAAAAAAGACCAGAAATAAGAAGTGTTGGCAGAGTATAGAGAAAAAGGGGCTGTTTTTATACTACTGGAGGGTATGCAAACCAGTTCCTATGAAAAGTGGTACGGAAGTTTCTCAAAACACTAAATATATATATTACATATATTTAACATAAAATAAATATAAAATTATATAATATTATTTTAATTACTCAAAAATAGTATAAAATAAATATAATATGACCCTTAACTAAAACTATAATTTATCAGGTATTCCAGTGAAAAAGTACTAATCTGAGAAAAACTCATGTGTACTAAAAACCTTCATGGTATGTTCAGGGACTGTATCTTACTCTTCTTCAGATCCTGTATTTTCTCTTGTACTTTTCCACTATTCTTCAAGTGAAGTCTGCTCTAAAAAGACAATGAGTATTTCTCTTTACAAATTTCTGCTCTTTAACATCTTTCTATACATATATACATATATGTATATCTGTTATCTCCTACGTATTTTTTTAAAGATTTATTTATGCATACAGAACTGGGGTCTAGGCCAGAGGTGCAGAGGCAGTGAGAGGATTCACCAGAGACAGAGTGGGGAGCAGAACAAGCCGATCAACAAAGTACACTGCTGAGGGGAGCAGCGAGTGTGCATTGGCGAGATCTCAGGAGAGATCTGCCGTGCTGTGTGGGTTACCTCCAGGGCAGGGATCGAACTCATGCTGAAGTGGGTTTAGCTTCTTAGTGCTGCGCTTTAACTCACTGCACCACCAGGGAGGGCCTACCTTGTTTTTTTTTTTTTTTTAAAGATTTATTTATTTGTGCATACAGAACTGGGGTGCAGGCCAGAGGCTTAGGGGCGGTGTGAGGCTTCACCAGAGACAGAGTGGGGAGCATAACAGGCAGATCGACGAAATACACTGCTGAGGGGAGCAGTGGGCGGGTCAGGAGAGGTCTGCAGCGCCATGTGGTTACCTCCAGGGCAGGTAGGAATCGAACTCATGTAGAAGTGGCTTTAGATTCTCAGCGTTGTACTTTAACCTGCTGCACCACCAGGGAGGGCCGGCCTACGTATTTTTTAAATAGTAAACTAAACATCATTATCTTTGGTTAAGGTATAAAGGAATCATAATTCTAATTACAGTTCAAGTTTTACAGTCCTTTAAAATGGTTAGACAAGGCTGGTTAAAACGATCAAAATGACTCAATTTTCAGTTTAAACAGAAAAAAAGAACTGGCTCAGTACTTCGGATGGCAACTTTACGTCACCTAAATCATCAGAAAGTGGTAAAGTACTAGTTTATCTCTTAAAGCACACCAAGCAAATCCTAGCATAATCCCAAACACAAAGTATATGCTCAAATGACACTTGCTGAATGAGTGTATTGCTGAAAGCTCCAGGATAACTTCACATTTATCAAGAGTTGAGAATACAAACAAATTATTTAACAAAACCTACCTGCTACTGTGAGTTTGGCTGTTCTGCTGACAATAGTTCCAAGATTCTCAACAGTGGCCACACACTGGTAATAACCTTCATCAGGTTTATTGTGTTTGGAATGTACCACACTGCCGATAAATAAAGATCCATCTGGGAGAAGTTGGCGTCGATCATCAGACACTAAGTTTAAAAAAGTTCCATCTTTTTTCCATTCAATTTTTGGAGAAGGCTCAGAATATGCTGAACAGTTTAATATAACAGAAGAGCCTCTATTTGAGAGTGTATCCACTGGTTCCACCAGAAAATAAAATGGAGTGAATGTTCGAATGCCAGCTCCTATAAAAATAATAATAATAATAATAATAAAGAACAAAGTTAGGCAATGCTTTCTTCTTTTCTACTAAAAAAATGGTTATGTTCTTTGGGTATGATACATACAAATAGTCATTTCACAGGGATTTACCCTTAACTAGAAAAACAAAACTTGGCTCATTCTAGAACATTAGGGAAAAAGACCCTCATGATATTAAAAAAAAAATTTCTTAGATGATAACATTATCATCATGTATGGCTTTATTTCTGGCCATACAGTGAAATTTATAAATACTTAAAATTTTTATTTCCAAAGTGAATAAACATAGATAGAAAACTGACATGGCAATAAGGTACCTTTCCTATGTTTATCATTTATATTATTTTCATAAATTCAATATATATACACACATTGCATTTTTTTTTAGTGGATTAGTCATCTTGTTGACTTAAAAGCACCCTTTGTGCTTAACTATCATGTCTCACAAATATTATTTTATCTCTTTTTTAAAATAATATAATAGTTTATTTTTACATCATTTTGTGCCTTTTTCCATCTCAGTTGTAATCCCCGTGGGCTTCCCATCACCAAGTCATCCGTGGTGCCATCACCATAGTCCAGTGTACTTCCCCCACCCTGTTTGTTTTCTCTCTCGACTATGATTTTTTTATAATAAAATAAATTTGACTACATACATTTAAAAATATTTTCTTTCTTTCAAGATTATAAAAAATGCCAGCCGTGTTTGTGTGTTAGTATTTTTGGTGATTTCATTTTCCACATAAAATCTACATCCAGAAATCATTTTGATGTGAAGAACACAGACATATCAGCCTAATTTTTTCAAGTCTTTGGCCTGTTCTTTGAATATGGGAAGAATGTAATTTTTTAAAGAAACATCTGCTACATTCTCAGCCACAGAAAGTTTTACCTCGTCTCATCACGAAAAATGCTGATCAAACTCCACCATGAACAAGTGAATTTGAAATCAGATTTCTTTGTGTGAACAATTAGGGAAGCTTAGTACAATAAATGACATAATAAATAAAGCCTTGCTTTTCAAATAGATCTACATATTCCTTTCATTATAATTTACTTACATTATCAACCTAAGGATGACACTAATTAAGATTAAACAATTAAAGAATGGTCCTAAATAAATATGAAACAGAGGCTGAGGGAAAGAAGGTCACAGATTAGCAATACATGTGTATGTCTCGGCGGAAGTGCATTATATGGGGCATGACCTTCTTATCTGACAGCACTTTCGTAAGTGTGGACAGAGCAAAAAAGATGCAGTTTTGGGATTCAGCCACCAGGATACTAGTGAAGAACTGTGTCATGGCAAATGCAGACATGGAGTCCATTGCTGTGTCTGATCAGGACAGTTTCATAGTGCATACAGCTTAGGAAACAATATTCCTTTTTTAGCTGGCCTTTGTGTCTTCCACCAGTGAGAGGCGGTGGATGTAGACAAGGCCCTTCCAGTATCCCACTCAGTGCAGAGAAAGTGGACCTAAAGAATTATGATGCTGCTCTCTGACCAATCACTTTTCCCCATCAACTTCTCACTTCCTATTTAAAAGGAAGCACGTTCTCCTCTTCCATTTTGCCATCACTTGGACCTTTGGCAAGAGGGGATCTCCAGTTTCAACAGAAAAGAATGGGGACACTTCCACTCTAAAGATGCAGATCATTTACTAAACCTAAAGACACAGGGTCCTGGGTACATCATTTGCAGCTGTATCTCCCCATGTGGTTGTTGGACAGCCTATTCTGCAGCGTCTGTTTCCTATCTGCTGAACTATGAACATGACAACACAAGCTTCCAAAGAGTTTCCAAGATGCCAGTGTTTCTTTTTTCTTCCCTTCAGATTCTGTTTTCTGAAGATTCAGAGTGAAGCCAGACCATCCAGAAATAGGATTTTCATTCCTTTTGGCTCTAAAGGGACACTCCCATCACACGCATCAATTTTCATCCCGAGACCCAAAGCACATCCTTCTCCATGATGCTTACACATTCTATATCACTGACAAGTTGTCGCCTTTTCCAAATGACAACTCACTTCCTCCCACAAATGATTCAGATGTCATCAGAAGATGCACAGATCATGTCTTCAAACTTTTAAGATATATAAGCCTCTATTTTTCATGGATCTTTCAATGAAAGAACCCTGGTGGCAGTAGAACAGCTCTTAGAGGACATTATCACTAAGCTCCCGCCTCCCATCAAAAAAGAAGAAATTGTGGGCCTAAAACAGAGCACTGTTCTTGAACTATATACTCTGTTCATTTTCACAAATCATGATAATAAAACAAAGTTATTTCTAAAACCAAAAAAAGTGAAACCTCGGTGATAGAAAAAATACACTTCAAACATTAAAAAAAAACACTTTACATCAATATACTATAAAAAAGCAAAAGACAAGATGGGGGAAACATATCACAAATAACAAATAATTTAGAAGTTTACGCAATAGAAAAATGGGTAAGACTGTGTCCTGACAAAACTTTATTTACAAACAGGCAGCAGGATGGAGATCATTCACTGTCTTTTACTGATCCTTACCTCAAAAACATTTAGTCAGTAAAATATGAATGAGTTGTATTTCATGTGATCTGGTATAAGTTCTGTGAAAACTGAACAATGCAGATAAGTCTAAGGTATATAATTTCTATGCATATCATTGTACTTAGAATTGAGAAAGATAGAAAAGAATATTCCAGTTTGTTAGCACAGATTTTTACTGTGAGGAAAAGGATCAAGAAAAGAGTGGGTGGGTCAAGGATGATAATACATATAAACTGATGTACGTATAAACTAATTTCATACTAAAAATCAGTTTGTATCATTCATTTTTAAACATTATACATATGGTAGTGTGAGTGTGTTTACACACGCATGAATACTTGAAGGAATGCATTTTAAAAACTAGCCACCAAAATAGGGATTATCTCAGGGTGTTAAGGTTTCAGCCCATTTTAACTTCTTCTTTTAACCTTTGGTGTTATCTGACTAGCTTATGTAAAAAAAAAAAAATAGCATTTACTTAAGCATAAATAGAACTGTTTTCATCTATATGAGTTTTATATGTATATGAAATATACGTGTGTGTGTGTGTGTATATATATATATGGGTTTTATATATATATAGAGAGAGAGAGAGAAAGAGAGAGAGAGAGAGAGAGAGAGAGAGAGACACTACACAGGATGGGGTTAGTAAGAAGTCTGTGGTATCTTCATATTCTGAGATTGGAAGATTATCAAAATAGAAAATATTCACCTTTTAAAATATGTAGAGCAGACACTGCTTATATTAAAATGTACATACACATGTACATACAAGTGTATACTCATATTTAAATGTAGTTAATAAAAAAGTCTAGGAAAGTCAACACTACAGTTTCTGGTGTTTCTCCAGAGAGAGCAGTTAAAATGAGCTGCTTAAGAAGAATGTGCAAGAAGAAGGCCTTCTACCTTTATAGATTTCAATACTGTTTATTTTTAAAAATATGAACTACTTGTGTTTTGTTTTTTCTTTTCCTTTAATTAAAAAAAAAAAAACAAAAACCACTGCTGGTAGCAAACAATCCTTTGTTAGGAACAGAAAATTGTTTTTAAAAGACCTATCATTTTCTTTATCACTTTCCTTTTGTCACAGTAGTAGAGTTACCAAACACTCAGGCTAATTTTACATAGACTGTCGTACTTCTCATTAGGGTCCTGATTCCCCACCTACTCAAGTTTTCTTAATTTAGTTTACTATGAGCAGAGTTACTGGACAAATTATCCTGAAATACACTTAATGAACCTGTCTGATCTCTTCTACATTCCCAGGTCTCTGCAAATTTCTCACTTCTTAATAGAATAGCTCTCACTTCTTGATAGACTATTCCTCACTATTCGATAGACTATTTCACACTTTCTGATAGAATTCCATCTTATGAAAGGAATATATCCATAGGGAACGTATATCAGCTGTAAGCCCCTAAATACCAACAAATCTTGTCACTCACTGCACACCTTCAATGTGAATATTTCTATTTGTTTTACCCAGAGCGAAAAAAAATGCACATAGTATTTGAATACTGGCAAAAATAAAATGAAATCTTAAAAGTGTTCAAAGAGGTTCAAAGTTTGATAGCAAAAATGTAGGACAGAAAGACTAGCAAACATTTTTATAAACATAAGCATTATCTATGTTATCCATCCTTGTAGCATTACTCCTCCATTAAAAGCTAAGAAAATGACATTGAAGGACTCTACTTCTTTTACTCCTTAATAATGTTACTTTTAACTCTCCAGTTCTGTCTATCCAGTCATTTTCTATTTCATCTTTCCTGATCCCTGGATGTTCACTATCATCATATCGTTCAGACTCTTTTCCTTCAAGTTATAATTAAAAAAATACTAATTTTAATACTTTAAAAACAATTTTAATAATTAAAAACTAGAAAGTTAATTAACATTCATGGAGAGCTCAAACAAATATACTCAAATTACAGTTTATAAGTAGCCACACTGTAAGTGCTAAATGTTTTCTACCCTGCTTTGTCACAGAACACTTACTGTTCCTAGCCAAAGCCCCAGTCGGTATTGGCCCTGTACAGGCAATTCTTTCAAAGACTGAATCTATATGCTTTTATAACTCCTTTTGTGATGGTTTACAAGTAATAATAAGTGGGCTAGTTGTTATAGACGTGATTGTCCATGTCATATATACAAATACATACACTCAGAAAAACTTTATGGTACACAAGTATACCATAAAGTGAATTTCAACTTTTCTTCACACCTGATTCTGAAATTATTTTTCAAGATCATAATGTCCTAACAGGGAAGTTCAATTTGTTTGAATTTGTAGCATCTATCTTCCCAATCATTTCCCTGAATGAAGGCTATCTGAATTCATTTATCCAATAAATATTTATTGGAAATAAATATTTCCAATATTCATTTTCATATATCCATTACATATTTTTGGAATATATATAGGAATAAATTTACATATTCCAATATATC